TACTACTAGTAAGGCACCTGTTACTAGTAGCGATGCACTTGTTCCTATGGTGTCGGCACAGGTTTGCAGTTGTTCATTCAGCCTCAAGACGTGTAAGGTACAGTATCATAAATCACACAACCAACGAGCACATGGCATACTTTCATGCACAAGTGTTGGGCATCCGCCTTGTTTGTAACGTGTATGTAACAAGTGTTCAGCGAAAGAGCAAGCCTTTCCCTCCTCAAGGGTTGGTAGCATTTGACGGCGATGAGGTTCATCTCCATGAGTTTCCGCCGTATGACCCAAGCAGCTTGGCTGGATCGTTCCTATGTAGGCCTAGGGCCTGGGGTGAAAGATCGCATGGGTCTCAACCTGGGTTGAACGATTTTGGCTGCATCCTGGGCTGAGGTAAATACTATGAAGATGATGCCGATGTGAGAGCCTCAGTGTTAGCCAAAGGTCATGCCGTGATAAAGCAGAAGGAAGTGGCCAGGGGCAAGCAAGTTTCAATTGTACAGGACCTGCGTTTCATGGCAGTTTCAGTTTCACTTCAATAACCGTGGCAGGGATTGTTTGCAAACATTGTGGATTTGAGAGCCCTTGGTCACCTTGGTCCTTGGCCGAAACACTTTCCTTCGAACCCGAGTATGTAGCACTATTCATGGTAAGGTTTGGCCGGATTCTGTTCTGACGTGTTCCGAAAGTTCAACGTGTGATATCATGGTACTTCCGAAAATGCTCGCTGACAAGTAGTCAGTATACTCAACCTATCATGTTCGTCCAAGACACACTAGAGGGCATCACTTCACAATGGTTCAGAAAGGACTCGTACTGAAACTCTGCAGATTGATTGCTTGATGTGCTGTACTTTGAACTTTCCGGAATCGCTCATCCCTCCTCGTGGACTGTGCCAAGGAGCCTTCAGAGCTGCAGAGCTGGTTAAAGAAGCACCTAGGCCTAAGGAAAGATTACAAAGAAGCAGAAAAGTATTTCAAAGCCAGCTTTGTTACATCTTTGTTACATTTGTTGCAACTTGTGAAGGAAGGAGAGGTGGAACACTAGAAAGGAAGTCGCAGACCTTGCTTTGTTCGATTTTGCGCTTTTAAATTGTTCGAAGGCCCACAGTTGGTGCATGTTGCCTCAACAGGAAAAAGAACGAAGTGATGTTCGCCTCACATTTAGAGCAACGCAGACTCTGAAATCACAGCAAGTCCGGAAGCAAAAGGATCAACGAATTCACCTCAGTTCGTGAGGTGCGCCAAACAGATCCAGCAACGCCGGAATGAGATGGAGCAGCGTTGACGGCGTTTGCCGCAGTTCCTTGGGAACTCTCCTTTCCAATGCTGGCGTCCAAGCTTTCTGGCTTGCAATGGATTTCAATCCTAGCGAAGGTGCTTTCGGAACGTTCAACCATCAGCAGTTGCAAGCGCCTAAATTCGTGCATGTCAGCATTCTCGGGGTCGTTGTGGTTGGTTTGCATCCTGGGAGACTACTCTTTGTAGTAGCGGAAGATGTGCGAGGGGAGACAACAACGATACTGTCGTTTCGCGGTGTCACACTCCTGAAAACATGTCAGATTCAGCACTTCCATGTGCAACATGGGAAGCAAGTTGGCAATGCACTACATTTGGATGAACATTTATACAGCTTGTGCACCATGCTGCCATGATAGCTCAAACTTTTGTTTGCAAAACCTGCAATGCCTATGTTGCCCAGACCCAGGTTGAGTCGTCATGTGGTTTCTTTTGTAAGGTTTGAGGTTAAGGGTCTTCTTATCGTTAAGGTCATGGCGTCAGTGAGATGGTTTATTGCACTGTCGCTTGTCATCGGAGGAGGCGGGCCTTACCCACGACACCTAGCAGCTACTGTGTGCTTTGCATGGAGCCCGACAACCACGTGGAAGATTCTTAGACACCTGGATGACAAGACTGACTTAGCTAGGAAGCCCACGATTCAAAGGCAGCAAAGACCTGTGTTTGTCGGAGCAGATGGAATTTGGATCCAAACATGAAATGCTTCATGCTAGTGTACTTTCTGCAAGAGCCACAGGGATCAACAGGGAGATGCATCGCGCAGCAATCACACCGTCAGCTTTCTGCAGGCAGCACGCGGAGCTCGATCTCGTTCACAACGACTGGGTTTGCGTGGATTTATTGGATTCATAAGACTGAAGTGTTCCATGGTCCTAGTAGCAAGAATGCTACTTGTAGTACGGCCAGGAGCCCCTAGTAGCGTCGTTGCTCCAATAATTAGAAGAATTGGAGCGGCTATGTTTGGACTGCCTCTGCCTCCGCCAATGTTTAAAGAGTGCGTTGCGTCCAATGGTCCTCTGCCAGGACCAAGCGAATTCGCTTGTTGCTGGTGCGACATGGACTGCAATAGCCTGAGCATCTCGAGAAATCAACCTTTAACTTCCTGTGTGTCATTCCAGGTTGGGCCTAAGGGCAAGCCTACCTGTCTTTATGTGAAAGTTTGCAGTTGTTTTTCAGGGTGCGTGGTGTTTTCTGCGCCTCAAATGCTTCAGATTAAATCAGATTTGTTGAGGTCGTGTGCCAATGTGATTCGTCACTACAGTTCAGATCCGAGTTGATGCAGACAGATAACACATTACTGGAGATGGATCGTACGCAAAGCAGAAAAGGCTGTGGGTTGAAACCTAGACGGAGCTTTGACCCATATCTGCTGTATTGATTTGGCATTAAAGAAAACTAGCTTTTTATGTTCTTGGTATCCTCATTTCATGGTGCAAAGGTGTTCCAAGATGGCTGCTCACCTCCCCTTCGGAACAGACCTTCACCCAGGCCCAGGTCGCAAGGATAGGTTCCATTGATTTTGTGTTTCAAGGTCCACTTCTCACGATGCTCCAGCCTGTGCCCCAGACTTTGCCAGATGTGTGTCCCAGATGTATTTGCAAGTGTTCTAATTTGGGACTTGCCTCACAGCTCAGCCAAATCTTTGAGATTTTTTGGCCTGCTTTCCCCTGTCAGGCATAAACATTTTTTGGACCCGCCATTGTGTGACTGCCGGGTGACCCTGGAGCCAAACTCCTGCGACTTAAGAACAGGATGGATCGACTTTCATGAAGTCGTAGAATATCTTACTACTAGCAACCTAATATTCTGGCGATGGCCTCCAACCTAGAAGCGATGGCCTCCAAAGTCGTAGAATATCTTTCAGGGCATGTCTTTAGGACGCTACTAGGGGCTCCTGGCCTTACTACTAGGAGCACGGACGCTACGGGTAGCTCCTTATGCTAGTGTCATGCGAAAACTGCCGACTAATACGCAAAGCGCTGAGGTGGAAAACGACGCACCGAGCGTGCAGCAAAGATCTTGAAGGACGAGCCTGTAGATTTGGCTCCTCGGTGTGTCCAACACTGTGTCATTTGTCCGAGCAGGGCATCGCTACTAGTAACAAGTGCCTTACTAGTAGTAACAAGAAGCTACTAGGAACAAGTGCATCGCTACTAGGAACAAGGATGCTACTAGGGGCTCCTGGCATCGCTACTAGGAACAAGGACGCTACTA